TCACACACACATCTACTATCTCACACAGGTACAAACAAAAACACAGGAAAATGAAATTACAGATAATATTTGTAGAGGAAGTGGGCCACACATAATTCTACCACTGTGATAAACGTGTTTGTGGGTAAATATGTTCTGATATGACCACTCATATTTTTCACAGAGCTTCAGGTTTGGATCTGAAATCGCATACGTTGGTGCTGCAATATTGGACAGCGGTAAAAAAGTGAAGCAGATATTGGTTGGTGGGAATCAGGATGGTAAGTTTAAGAATTTATATTTAGGCAATTATGATTATTATTATATTTTTGCAAATATTATTAATAATAGTGGTAGAAGTAATGTGAAATTATTTTAATACGGTTTGATAAAAATGCTTAAAGAAACATTAACCCTGTTTTTTTTTTTGTCTTTTTTTCTTAGTTTTTTTCTTTTTAATTGAAGTATGAACCTGGCAATAATAAAAATGCTATGTGTCTGTTTTCAGGGAGTGTTCGAGGGGTGGACACACAAACACTGCAACATCTGAAGTTGGGACAGAGGCTGCCAGAAGGGAGCGTGGCCATTCTGAGCCGCTGTAATGTCACAGTTTTCAGCGAGGCTGTCCGACTCACAGACGTCAACCCCACCTGCAAGATCTACATTGTGGGAGTGAGTACATGAAACATTTGTCCAACCTGGTAATGAATTATCTTAATGTGTCTTTTAAACCTCAAATATATTCTAAACATCTCTGATTTTGTGCAGTTTTTCAGTCAGAGAAAGTTAAGTGATGTGCAAAACATGGTTAGTGTTTCTTTAAAAAAAAAATGCCAACCTCTGATTTTAGGGTGTTGAAAACTTTGGACTGGACAAAATTATGGATCTCTGGGTCCTGATGCAACCAGAGGACAAACGCAAGAATGGTAATTCACTTCTGCTTGAAGGTTTTATAATCTTAGACTCACTGAACAAAATATCCTAATTGGATTGCTCAAAATGTTTTATGTAGTCTTTGCAGTATGTTTCCTATCTGTAAAACTTATTCAGATTATTAATACCTTGTTGGGTCTTTGAAACTGATGGTTGTTAAATTATGCTTTTCTAAAGTTTGCTTTGTTTGGATTTGTTTCTCTACTTTAGAGAGCCTTCTGATCAAGGATTACTTCATCCGAAGTTTCTGCAAAGATAAGATGGGTGGATTCAGAGGTCTGAAGGGATACGCCATGGCCTCGGAAGACCGCGAGCTGGAGGCCAAGCTAGCCGTGGTGGAAAAATAAAACAAACGCATTCCAGAGCTGGTTAAACGCATCTATGATCGTGCCCAGAAAAACCCAGTGTGTGCAGGTGAGTGAGACTAAAGTCTAAAATGGCCTAATGGTTATAGAGTCGGACTCGTAACCCAAAGGTTGCGGGTTCGAGTCTCGTACCGGCAGGGATTGTAGGGGGGGGGAGTGAATGTACAGCGCTCTCTCCCACCTTCAATACCACGACTGAGGTGCCCTTGAGCAAGGCACCGAACCTCCAATTGCTCCCCGGGCGCCGCAGCATAAATGGCTGCCCACTGCTCCGGGTGTGTGTTCATGTTCACGGTGTGTGTGTGTTCACTGCTGTGTGTGTGCGCACTAAGGATGGGTTAAATGCAGAGCACTAATTCCTAGTATGGGTAACCATACTTGGCCACATGTCACGTCACTTTTTCACTTTTAAAAGCACTAAAGCACTGTTTTTGAGAAATACTCAATGATGGCTTGCAACCCCTATATACAATCTGAATACTTTTATATCTCTGATTGTGACAGATTTTATCCTTGGTACGGTGCATAAGGCAAAAGGCCTGGAGTTTGACACAGTGGTTGTGACAGATGACTTCATGAAAGTACCATGTGCTCGACACAACCTGCAGAGAGTGGGCGGTTTCAATGCAGGTTTGTGGCATTTCTTTAGGAATGTATGTTTTTTTAATACTCTCTCTCTGTGTGTGTGTGTGTGTGTGTGTATATAATGTAATAATAAATGTGTTGCACATAATGAAATAAAGCCCAGCACTTACTATTATTATAATCTCTGTATCTGAGCCTCAAAGTCTGTCTGGGCTTTAGCCAAGTGACCGTCTGCACATCTGGTAGATCAAAGTGTCCATAAAGAGTGTATGTTTGTGATGATCTGTGATTCTGAGATAGACCTTAATGTATATGAGTAGTATGCTAGAGATCATGAAAAAAGGTACAAAAGCGGTCACTGGGGAGGTACTCTTTCAAAAGGTACATTTTTGTACCTTGTTTATTCTTAAAGGGTGCATATTAGTACCTTAAAGATGCATATTAGTACTTAAATGTTAGTATCATATTAAAAAGGCTACTGCCCAAGTGATATTTGCATAATGTTGCAGCTGACCAATCAGATTCAGTATATGAAAATCCAGATATGCATATGGCTAATCTTTTCTCTCTGGCTGCAGCAAACGTCCCAGATGACGAGTGGAACCTGTTATATGTGGCGACCACTCGAGCCAAAAGAGCGCTGTACATCACCAAGACCATCAGCAACATCCTCACGTTCACTGGGGTGAGTTATTGCATTTCAGCTTCGTTCTGATCTTTATAATCCAAAGAATATCCAGAAATTGTGAATTTGAAGCATTCTTATTATTCCTGCCTCTTCGTCTTCCATAGGAGTACTTCCTAAGGTCAGGGCTGACCAGCACTCTACCGAGTAAAGACCCATTTCTTGTCTGCTCCATTGAAGGCTGTGAGAACCACATCACTGCAGACGCCGTCCTCAGCATGAGCAAACTCCCCATCAGATATGTTAGTGTCTTTTTCCACCTGTCTTTTAATGGGATAGTTCACCCCAAAATGAAAATTTGCTGAAATGTACTCACCCTCAGACCATCCAACATATAGATGCCTTTTCTTCATCAGAACAGACATGTAGAAATTTAGGATTAAATCACTTAGTTACAAATGCATCCTCTGCAGTGAATGGGTGCCGTTAGAATGAGAGTCCAAAAAGCTGATGAAAACATCTATATAATCCACAATTAATGCAAATGACTCCAGTCCATCAGTTAGTGACTTGTGAAGTGAAAAGCTGCGTGTTTGTAAGAAACAAATCCATCATTATGTGATTATGGGATGAATGTCATCATTTTCTAATCTTTTTGTATTCTATCTATTTGTTTTCTTTTAATTTATTATACAATTAACTAAAGCAAAAAAGGCCTCTAACACTAGCTTGCTCTATTCTTTTTCTATTCTATCTGTTTTCTTTTTATTTATTATATAATAATAAAAAAAAACTTGCTACGTGTACTGCGTTAAGCTAACTGAGACTTGTTATAGCACTTGCGTATCATTGCTCTTTTGTTGATTTTGATTGCTTCCATCGTCCTCATTTGTAAGTCGCTTTGGATAAAAGCGTCTGCTAAATGACTAAATGTAAATGTATGTGTTTCAGATGGAGAGTGTGGACGCGGGCGGCGTTCTGTGTTTGACCTGTGTGGAGCAGCGTGTGGGACCTGCAGCCTTCCTGCTCTCTCCACCTGAACGGGTCAGATCCATGACCTATACCAATGAAAGAATAGAGCTGCCCATCAATGTCGCCATGCTGCTATCTTTACTTTAAACACCACATTCAAGTGCCCTTTTGCCTTTGTGTCTTTTGGAGTGATTTTGCCATGTTCACAATTGTGGATTACTCAAATCTGCACTGGATTTTTTTTTTGTTAGTTTGTTTTATTGTAGTTAAATGCATTTTAGCCAAACTGTTTTTTCCCCGTTGCTTCATTTTACTGGTTCTCCCACATTGTGACTTGCCCTATTTGGAAGACACTAATCATTGACGTCAGTGTTTATAGGTGGAGAATAAGCAGTGCGTCTTTTTCCTGGTTTTTCTGGCAGCTTTAGAAGAGCCTTTTCAAGCCCTCGATAACTACAGTATTACAGCTGTTGTGAACGACACAGTGGTTGAGGAACACTGATGTATAAGATTGTGTTTATGTCCACAGTTGTAACATGAGTGATGTGTGGGAAGAATGCTAACCATTCCTACATATAGTTTTACATAAAGACAAAGTGTGTAATTAGACTAACTTCAGTTTTGCACTGTATATTGTATATTAATTGTCTAATCTAATTTTTTTCCCAAAAGTTTTTTGATGTTTAATACTTTGAACAAGCATGATCATAATTTATGTAACCTTTAATTTTTTACCATTTGAAAAAAAGGTGTAATTTTTTTAAATATATTTTTTATTTCAGCAGACGTTTTCAAAGTGACTTGTATGTCATTGTTTGAGAATTTTGTATATTCATTGTCTAATCTAATTTTTTTCCCAAAGGTTTTTTGATGTTTAATACTTTGAACAAGCATGATCATAATTTATGTAACCTTTAATTTTTTACCATTTGAAAAAAAGGTGTAATTTTTTTAAATATATTTTTTATTTCAGCAGACGTTTTCAAAGTGACTTGTATGTCATTGTTTGAGAATTTGTAATCATATGTATATATCTATATGTATATGTTGCGCAGACTAAGTAAATCTTGGGCAGATCTGGTGCAGTCTCACAGTTTTTTTTTTGTTTTGTTTTTCCTTTTTAAAACTTTGTAATATACATTAATGCTACATTATTTATATTTATAAAATAGGTTGTGTATAAAATACACTCTTTATATTTATAAAATGTTGTGTAAAATATCTAATGACAATTAGATTTTTTTTTGTAAATTGAATAAATTAATAATTAATTAGATACACAAGTATTACACATTATGATTTATCATGTAGGAATAGAAAATATTGGTCTTTTATAATATTGTAAAGTGTGTGTGTGTGTGTGTACATATCATAATGACTATGTAATAATAATGTTAGATAATTATCAAAATATATAATAATATATATAGTAAAATAATTAAACGGTATTATATTGTCATATATTAACGTATTGGCCACACCCACTTCTGGTATATGAGAAAAGTTCGGGACGTCCCCTGTAAGACACAGTAAGACTTGACACAGTGGCGTGCGTGGATTTCAGAGATTTTAAGAAGACATCTGGACAAAAAAGTGCATAGCTGGGTCTCATGAGGATAAATAAGAGAAACGTAGCACTCTGTGAGTCGGTTTCGCTGGACGGCTGTGCGTTCTCCAGCTTGGCCACGCCCACTCGACCGCGCCGTACAGATTAAATGAACGTTACCGCGCGATTTACTGCTGGGAATTAAACTGGAAACTGGTGAGTGGCCAATATAAACAATTCAATGTAAATCAGTGACAAGCGTTTTTTCCCTCTTATTTTACGGTTTGCGCACCGCTAAGTTTTACATACAGACTCACCTCTTTTTTATGGTAACTATCAGTGATATTTGGTTATCTTTGTTGTGTGTCAATTGTTAAGACTTTGAAAACCTATTTGCGACATTGTTTCGTTTATCTCAAGAAATGAAGAAACTCCGCCATCTCTTGTTTCTACAAGGTTAGTGTTATTTTGGATAATGTTAACAAAAGAAAGGAAGACATTATATAAAGGATAACTAATGAAAGTCATTACAAGGATTGTAATATTGTATTGTAATAGGCCTAGTCCACTAATATGGACGTCCTCTCACAAAATATAGGATATATCAGTATAGCGTACATTAAATACAAATCTGTTATTGATGTAATAGTGTGTTAATGTGATTAATGAAAATATAAAATGTTGCTTTTAATAGTAGTAAGTTAACATTATCTGTCTGAAGGATACAGTCACATCTAAAATTTAGTTTATGGCCTTGTATATTTTAATTCATTTATCATTGTTTAAGTCTTCTGCTTTTAAAGCCCAAAAGCCACACAAATTGTTAGCAATTAGAATAATTGGTATTCCTTCTATTATAGCCTTTTTTAAAGAAATAGGACAAGAAACTGTGTAAGTGACATGCGAGAGCTTTTTAAATAGGCATAGTTTAGAAGACCCTAAATAAATGAAAAGAATCAGAGCTTAGTTTTCAAACCATAATGCCAGATTTGAACTTTTTCTGCAAGTCACTGTTTGGTTTTACTTGATTTCTGGTTCCTTTCAGCAAAACTAATACGTTTACTCCATTCTGAGAGGTCTAAGAAGATATGATATGAAGAGAGGACAGAAAGTGAGTTTTGAAATAAAACTGATAACTCTGAGTTTAGAGCTTAGCGAAGAATGCCATCAGGAAGGAAAGGCCAGGAGACTCCCGATAAACAGTCCCACATGTGTGCAAAAGTCTCGAGAGACCCAAAATCCCTTTAGAAATGTGTCTTAGATGCGACCAAAAGACTGGTTTGAAATTAACCATTAAAAAGCTCATTAGTAAATAAGTAAAGTGCTCTTCATCAACACCAAACCAACAAGTTCAGTTCTTAAAACTTGCTCACATTATTTTATTTCATTCTTTAAATTAGTTGTTTTGATCTATTAGATGTTTCACAATTAAAGTCCTATAATATTTGAAAGTACTTATTTTCGTTTTCTAGGTTTAGAAAAGCAAAATCTAACTAAATATTTAGTTTCATATCCCTGTGAGCCATCTTTTTCTTTCTCTCCTTTACAGATGCTGATGGAGAAACATGGCTTTGTTGAGGAAAAGTAAGTAACAAATCCAAGTTTTGCAGATTGTGTTTCCATGAATCCCCCCATGCATTTGGTTATTGCATCACTCTTTCATAATGCATGAAAAAAATCATGTCCAGTGTATGAGTCACTCTGAATCAGACTCCTGATACAAAATGAAAAGACTTACGTAGATGATTTTAGATCATTCTCTTGTGAAATCTCATGGATAACTGAGATCAGTGATCTCAGAGCACACGGGATGTTTTAGTGCCTCGTTTTGCTCTGCTGTCCTGCAGAATAGGAATGTGTCCTGTGTGTGTTTGTGGTGGAGGAGGGGTCCGTCCCACTGGTCGTCCCAGAGTAAATGAGGTAACCAGGCAGATTAAACCCATAAAAGTGATGTATAGCAGTGGGCTTCTTATCAGAACACATTTACTGAAGACTTAAGCCTTAACTTAAGTTTATTTATTTATTTTTTTTATTTTATTTCCTATTCCGTTTTACTAAGGCCTTGAGAAGAGGTATAAAGGCATGTTTTACATTAGTCAAGGTATGGAAAGCAACAAAATACACAGATGTTTACATTATCTTCTTCAGCCGACCTCAGCCTGGACAAGCACTAACCACGACCAAAAACAATTTTTGTGTCTGATTTGCTGTATTATTTGAGTATTATTTATTATACCTTTATTTGACCCTCTAACTCTAGCACTTTCTATTTTATTTTAATTCTATTTTATCTATATTTATCTTTTTTTTTTCTTTTTTTTTTTTATAACAACAAAAAACAAACAAACACTAGCTTTCTATTTTTTTCTATTCTATCTACTTGTTTTTCTTTGTGTGTGTGTGTGT